ACTTTTACTGTGAATCAATACTATATCAACATGTGATGTATCCATTAGTCTTTTATATATTTCATTATTTCGTTTACCTGAGCTTGATCAAGTGTGGTTAAAACTTATTTTTTAATTGAGTTTTTATATTTTGATACCAGAGATTAAACCCAGAGACACTCAACCACTGAATCACATTCCCAACTACCACCCCCGCCTTTTTTTTTTTTTTTTTGAGACAAGGCTTAGGGGCTTGCTAAATTGCTGAGACTAACTTTGAACTTGCACTCCTCCTGCCTCASCCTCCCCAGTTGCTGGGATTACAGTCATGCACTACCACGGTTAAACTTATTTTTAACCTGGAAAGCTAAGAACCAAATCCTGTAGGAAAATGACTCTGTGGCATTACCATCACCAGGTGGGTTAGCTTTTCATTAATGGAAATACCTGAATTGGAGATGGTGGTACAGGCCTGTAGTCCCTGTTGCTTTTGGGCAGCACATCAGGCAGGGAGCCTGTGGTAGAGCAACTGCTCCTCTCGTGACCAGGAAGACAAGAGAGAGGCTGGTCAGGGGGTAGGATCCTAGTATTCTCCTTCAAGGGTGTAACAACCCTAATGATCAGAAAGACTTTCCTTTGGTCCCCACCTCTTCTACCACCTCCTATTAACACCATGCTGGGGACTAAACCTTTAACACATGAGCCTTTGGGGCACATTGCCATTCCAAACTATAGTACCAGGTGAGACATGAGTTGAGTAATAAGCTGACCTCTTTGTCAACTTAAAATTTAAATGGCAATTTGAGCATGTGACTTTTGAGCTATACCATCATAAGACATTTGAAAGCTAAGTACATTCTGTTTACCTTCACATCCTCGAAAGGGCCCCACATAATGTCTGCAATGTTATAGGCATTGAATATTAGAAGAGAGGATAGCTGTATATTTTCCAGTCTCTGTGGAAAAGGATCAAATTCATCATCTGAGTAGAGACTACATTTCAGACATTCTTTATTGAAAGTGAAGTAATTAGGTAATTAGGACAGAATTTAATATTGTAAGAGAAATGTTGATGTCCAGAAATATAAAGAGAAATGGATGTAAAAAATAAACATGATATTAACTTGTTATATTTTTACACCTGTATTTTTTTTTTTTTCTGGTTAAATGTTTCCTAAATGGGCTGGGGATGTGGCTCAAGCAGTAGCGCACTTTGCCTGGCATGTGTGCGGCCTGGGGTTGGATCCTCAGCACTACATACAAACAAAGATGTTGTGTCCGCCGAAAACTAAGAAATAAATATTCTCTCTCTGTCTCTGTCTCTGTCTCTGTCTCTCTCTCTCTCTTTAAAAAAAAAAAATGTTTCCTAAATGTATATGTTAAAGGTTGTAACTACCATTTTTTTTCTCCTTTCAACATATTTTAAAAACTTAAATAGTACTTGATAGAGATTTCATGTTCATTTTGATGAGATTTAATTTCACTTATAGTTAAACCAAAGATCTCTAAGTCCAACTTCTAATTATTGCCATGTAGTTAAGGAACACATTTGTACAATTAGGTTTCCCAATTTTCTTTGGTTTGTGTTTTGCACCACTGGGGATTGAACCCAGGGCCTTGTACATACTAGGCAAGCACTTTACCACTGAGCTACATTCCCAGCTCTTTGTGATTTTCTATCACAAAGAAAATCAATACATATTGTTAAATACATTGGCTTGCTATTTTACATTCTTTTTTGTTTAATAAAGTATATGGGATATCCAAAATTACAGATGCCTTTTTTCCTTTGATGAATCTCAGCCAAATATTATAGAACATCTGGAATCTTTCACTTGAAAAAATAAACAACAAAGGCATTTCTCAAGCTTGATGTGTGTGGAAGTTTGATGAAGGTTTAGTGAGGGTGGGTTTTTACTAGAAGGCTGGCTGGTTAGTTGCCAAGAATTCCTGGGCAGTAGTTTTGGCATTAATTTCTCACTCTTATAAATCCAGTTTCCTGATCTTGCTGACTTTCCATAGTTGATCAGACTTAGTGGCTATTTCCCCCTTCTTTCCTTTTGCTTTACTATTGAACCTTCTATAATGGGATAAGCCAATTCATTGACCTTGTACTTTATGCAGGTCACCAGTGATCTTGTATGCCCAGTAGACACCCTTATCTCTAATGACTTCGTGGCTACATTTACTTGAGGTGTACAGAAACTCTGTTTTGTGCCTACCAGTCCAATTTCCTTTTTCTCCAGGGTACACAGCAAACTGTATTTTCTAGCCTTCCTCTGAAGTTAAGTGGGGCCACATGACTAGAGTGTTAACTAGTGAAAAATGATAAGTGTTATGGCAACACATGATGGAATAACTACTTCCTCCTCTTCCAACTTACTGCAGTTGTGTATGACAAGACTAGGCAATGAAACTATGTTAAACTATTGAGAGTTGGGGTTCTTTGTTATAGTAGAAAGCTGTTATGTATACTTACTTGGCTTCTGTGATGCTCCTCTCTTTCCTGAATCTGTGTTTTATCCATTTGTCTGTTTATTTATTTTCTTGAACTTCTCTACTCATTCCTTAAATATTTTAATGTTAAGTTTCCATGTCCCACTATTTTCTTCCTCTACATGTTGTTTGATGAACAATCTCCTATACTCTATGTTTTCATCTACTAATATATTAATTAGCAGAATAGTAAATATGTTCCTAAATATTATATAAAAGTTTTAATAAATGTGTACATGAAATTTATTTTGATTCATGTTTTGTGAGTTTGTTTCAACTATGATTTTAAAGTCCTTATTACTTATTTTCTCATTTTTGCCATTCCCTTTGATTGTATCTTTTTAAATGGTTATTTCTTTGAACAATGAAAACTCCTCATTTATCCAACAATATTAATTGAACATCTGCCAGAACTGTCTTTTCTTTTTTTCTATTGGTGTATAGTATGTGCCTTACATAACTCTATGTAAGTAATCAGTGAATGTTGGGTGAATTGAATAGAACTATTTAGTGTATAACTGCCACGAGTAAGGCTCTTTGCTGGGGTCAGTGCAGAACAAAAACAAATATAAAACTTAATTTCTGTTTACTTCATTTTTTTTTCCACTCTAAACATCCTCCCTATCCCCACCTCAATTAGCAAACATACTGAAGTAATTGCAACTCCACAAAAGTGACCCACCTTCTGATTTTTTTTTGGCCTGGAATTCAGAAGCATTTAATATCCATTTTTTTAGAACTGACTTGAATTTTCTGAGATCATAACTTACTTTATATATTTTATTGGGAAATTTCATTCATTGAAATAATTAATGGATTCACAAACTTTGCTAATATTGTCAGATTTTAATATATTAATAATAGCCAGGTCTTGCTTTTCCTTTTCTTTTTAAAAAAGATTCTTCACCGGATATATTCATCAGAGCATCATTTTAGTCACAGTAAGTAAATGTCATTGCAAATTTTCTCCCAGGGTCTAGCAGTTTTTCACATTTTATTTTCATTCTCAAATATAATTTCCTTTTAATGTTTTTAAATATTTTGGTATATCACTACGACTTTGGTAGTGATATAATATGAAAATTCTCATAGTATGTAACATTTTTATTTGTTATAAGTCCAATAGTAAACTAGAATGTCCAGTTTTAATGGATTCTGCAAATAAAATTATCCAAAGGGTATCCCCTAATCAATTGTTTGCACCTTAGTGTAAATGAAGAAGGAAAACTTGCATTTTGGAAAAGCCCAGAGAGCTGGGAGTCTTTAAGAAAATTACCTAACCTCTTTTTGCCTTATTAGGTTGTAATAAAATTGAACAAGTAAGAAAAATGCCTGGTACAGTGTGAGCTATTATTTTTAACTAATGAAGAAATTAATGTTGTCAATATCTTTGTTTGAAATCTGTTTGCTTAATTTCCAATCCATAGGAAAGAGTTTTTCATTCTTGTTAAGTAAATGCAATTATTGCATATTTCTCTGAATGTCAATAACATCTTGAGGGTTTAGAAGAGCATAGTTTATCATAACTGCTGAAATAAATTTAAAAATATTTATTTATTTATTTATTTGATGAGGAAGCAGGTTCAGAGAAGTCAAAGAATTTAAGGCAGGACAAGCAGATTTCTCAGGCACTTTTGCTTCATGTTAAAAGTTTGCAACTCCTTGCTTGCTCATGTCAAAACCAAAATCCCCCATCAGCGTTTCAGAATCTGAGGCTAATGTTTGCTATGAAAGAAGATTTATAGAACTCTCTGGGGATCTACTGATTCTTCCAGAGGGTTAACTAGCACCTAGATGCTTTTTATGTAACTTCAGTTTGGAGAACCATGACACAGTAATGTAGAAAGCATCCTCAAAGAGGCAAGCTGAACCAAACCCAGGACATCTTTTAGGGTAGGCTGTCCTGGTGATTGACATGCCACACTTGATGCTTTGCATAGCCATCGTGCATCAATCAATTGGACCCCTGAAGATCTTAAAACCTTCCTCTGCCATTACTCCACAGTTATGACTGCCAAATAGTGCGTTCTTTAGTTGTTTTCCTCGACAACAGTAAAATAAAGGGGATTCTGGCTCTTTAGTGGTTGTGGAAACCAAACATGGGCCTGTTCCACCTTAAAGGGCCTAGGCATGCCTAGTGTTTGGGTCTTGCAGAGTTTGGGCACCACCATATTTGGAGCGTGCCTACTTTGGGGCGGGAACCTCCTTGGGAGTGATTAGGTCAGCGCTGGGGGAGGTGACCTTGTTTGGTTTCTGGCACCCGAGAACAGTGGTGCACTGTTTCTGCTGCCCCCATTTGTCTAATTGGCCCAGACACTCCACCAGCCGAAGCTGCCCAGGAGCTCCTCGSTGGCCACCCCCGCGGCCCACGGCGGGCAGAGGCGGGAAAGCCGCGCGCCTGCGCCGTGGGAACCGGGGCCGGAGGCGAAAAGCGGGGAGCGGAGGGGGGCCGTTGGAGCCGAGTAGCGTACTGAGCGGCGTGTGACGCGGGGACGCCGCGCGCTCCCAACGTCGCCCCGGTTTGACGCACACGGCACCAAACTGTGAGTTTCAGGGGTTATTTGGTCGGATTAGCTAGGACCCGAGTGGGTTTTGGGCCTCAGGGCTGTGGCGGCGGCGGGACTGAGGGTGGCGGAAGAAGTTGGGGGACCCGGCCTCCGGCGCTCGGGCCCGGGGAGCTACGCCCTAGGCTGGGTCCCAACCATCCAAAAGGACGCATTTTGCCGCACAGGCTAAGATGGCGGCGGCGGCCGAGGAGGCGGAGTTGGTGCTACACAAGGAGCCCGGGCCCCGGGTTCAGGGAGGCGGCGGCCGCAGCGGCCGCGGGGGGCCGCGGAGCTTGAGGTGAGCGGCGGCCGCCGCCGCTGGGCGGGACTCGGAGGGGGCGGGGGGGCCTTTCCGCTGCGGCGTCGGAGAATCCGGTAGCGGACACAAAGGGGCTGAGCTGGGCACTAGACTTGGGGGTTTTGTTTAGTCACATGAAGCCGAGCAGCCAGTGAGCAGTAGGGGGAAGGGGCTGAGATCAGGCGGCTTGAGGAGCCTGGCGGTCGCCATTGCAATGCACTGAGTAACGGGGCGGTCCGAGAGCAGTCACCAGCCCCTCTCCGCGAGGCTGCTTCGTCCCAGCCAGAAGCGCCGGCTCTGGCGTTAATTGTACACACCCCTCCCCTGGCTTGGGACTGGACCGCATAGCTCTCCCCTCCTCCCGTTCTGCAACATCTTGTGCCGCTAGGTGCCTGGGAAGTAACAGCAAGAGGTAAATCGCTCGAAGTGTTTGGGTTGCTAGGGGCTCGGTGGGTGTCCAGCTAAAGCTTTTTGCCTCTCCAGGTCTGATTCCCTGGCCTTTGTGTCCCTGGGAGCTTAATCTCTGCCAGAGGAAAGCAGGTGTGCTCCACTTCTCCCGTGAACCTGAAGATGAGTTGCCCCAGACCCTTCTCAGTGATTGGAAACTTAGGTGGTGGAGCTAAAGGTTTCTTGTTACCAGACTTCCACAGACGACTCTCGTGTTGGGATCCATCCGTGGTTTAGCAACATTAGTGGAAAAGTTTTCTTGAACTGTTTTAAGTAATATTGACTTAAGTATAGTAGTTATAAAGCTTTTATGTTTAGACTTCAGATTTTGTGGGATCAGTAAACTCAACGAGGGGATACACATAACTTGGGGCCTGAAATGAGGGTCCCGTTTTGTATACAAGTTAATACTTTGTACAGAGATACCCAAACACTGTCTTCTATTTTGGCCTTTCCTGATTAATGCCAAGCTTGGTGCATCTGGGTGATGATATAGATTTGCCTTAATCATATGTTACATCTCTGCAGTAGCTTACGTTAGTTACATTATTTGGTCCCACAAGAAGGAAAGCATTTCAAAAAAATAGACATCTAAAGTTCCTCAAAGAAAGGAAACCGGCTCTTTGCCTTCAGTGCCATGTGTAAGTATCAAGGGAACTTGACATCTGCAATATCGTATTTGGTAGGTTTGGTAAGAAAAAATTATTTTTATAATTTAACTTAGATATAGGTGAAACGTGACTGCCAACTAGTATTAACGCAGCGGTATATATTGCTGTTAAAATCATGGCTGTATAAGTTTTAGAATTTCTTATTTATTATAGTAAGTTATAATAACAAATCATATATTGGAATAAACTACTACTGAAGTACAGATTTCAAAATTGAAGTACAGATTTTGTCTTTGCCATTAACAATAATCACTTGAAGGTATAGATAAATGCATTTAGGTCACTAATTTAAATTTGTATTCAAGATGAAATTTAAACTTTTCAACATTCCTTAAAACTTTAATTTTCTTTTTTTTCAGATATATATTTCCTCTTTTATAGTTTTTCTAGTAAAGTGTGATCTTAACTGTATTATTGAATAGAAGATATATTATTAACATTAGAAAATGTATTCCTAGATTATATAGTTTTACAGTGAGGGAATCTCAAAGAACCAGTATGCATACCCCCTTTCTTACAATATCTGAGGATAATTAAATTAGTTGCATAGTGAAAAATCAATCTTTCAACTTCTGTTGCATTGCTGTTTTCATTTGTCACATTGCTTGGATGAGAAGGTGAATATCTGCAACTAATGGTTAAATAAGACTCAACAAGGGAGAATTATTGAGAGTACTTGTTAATTAAATGCTATCACATTAACGAGAACTTCTGTGACAGTAAGTTAAATTTAATGTTATGTGTTAGGTGACTTTGTTTATAAAGTGACTTATGGTGAAATCCAGATACAAAATACAGAAATTTCAGAGCAGTGTTGGTTATGAATATTGAGATTTTCTGAAAGCATACTTGACCCAGAAATTTAAAAATTCAACAAGTTTCTTGGAAAGTTTGAGATAACTTCCATTATTACCTAAGAAATGAGAGCTGCTAAAAACAACAGTGCTTTTGATAAGTGAACATGCCACTCACACCCTTTTWAAAACAACTTTTAAGAGTACTGCTGCTCCTGTTGCTGCTGAGTAGTGTATCTCTCTGTTAGGTCTGTGAGGAAATTCAACAAGTCGTAAAATMATTTGTGGTGAATCCCACAGTGATCTTTAACTTTTTGGATGCCAGATTTGACAAACACAGTTAAATTGTTTTGACTCTTTTACAGTTCATTTATGAGGTTTTAAATTATTAATTTTTTTTCATAAGAAAGTTAATAAGGTATTTCATAATTTTCAACACTATGTGAATGGATTTAATTACAAGGTAGTCTTGGACCAGGGGCGGCACACACCAATAATCCCAGTGGCCCAAGAGGCTGAGACTAGAGGAATGCAAGTTCAGGGACAGCCTGAGCAATTTAGGGAGGCTGTGCCTCAAAATAAATAAATAAATTGCATATTAGTCTTGTGATAATTAGGGTTATACTTTTAGGTTATTTGTAATTATAAAGTGGGTCTGTAAACTTTAAATGCTTTCCAGGTTTAGTTTGTGTTGGAGTTTCATGGGAGGTAGAGTTTTGGTTGAATTGAGAATGTAATGGGCAGCAAAAAGGGAAAAGACTCAAGGAAAGTGTCAAGATGATGTGATTTAGAGAAAGTTCAGGTACTTCTGTCATCCTAAACACACTATTAGTTGATTAGGGTTATTTTCTTTTCTGCCCATGTGACTGGGAGAAAAAGAGTGGATCTTAGTCTTGTGGGAATGCATTTCTCTCAGCATTCTTTCAGTAGCATTTCAGAACTGTTTTTCTGTCAATAAGGCAGTTGTAGCTTGCAGCAAACAAAAACTAGCATGTTGAATTATCCAACCCTAATAGGTAGAAAACCCGTTCTGCATGCCTTTAAAAAAAAACTGTTTTCAAGTGTCTTTGAAATGATAACCTCGTGAAATAAAACATGGGGATGAATGGTGGATACTATAATAATTTAGGTAAATATTCAAATGAACTCAGTATTTTTAAATTTAATGGCTCTGGTATAGAGAATGTGTTTTGTACAAGGAGAGTCTTTAAATATTGAACAAAATCATGAGTTGTAGCTTTGACTGAAGTAGCTCAAAAGGTGGTGTTTTTGATTCAGATTTATTAGTGGGAGATAGCTGCTTTTAATAGTGTAAACTATACCATTGAGTTTTAAAAATCATCAAAATGATACTAGTTCTAGCTCACCCTGCTGGTTGGCTCATGTATTTGTCCTTTTCCTTATTTTAAATACTATATGAGACTTAGAGGATAATGGAACACAAAATTCAATTCAGTCTTCAGAAAGATGAAAAAGTAATTTTCTCATCTCTCAGGCGTCAATTATACCACTATTAAATTTTTTCTCAGATTTTTTATTCTCATAGTTAAACTGTGGAATTACTTCCTTTCTGGACTTACTGAGAGCTCATGTAGTTATGGGGTTAGTATGTTTCTGTATTTTTAAGTTCAGAATAAACACTTTGACAATTGTGAGATAAACTTCCAAGAGGAGAAAAGCAAAGGTCAAGGAGCCTGACAGTGTAGAAGTAGTAGCAGAGCAAACTTTTGGGTGGGGGAAAGTGAGACTGGATTAAGGTTAGCTTTTTTTTTTTAAGAAATTTCCTTTTCATTCTTATACTAATCTTTGTCTACCTCTTCGGTTGTAGCCTTCCCATATCATTTAGAATTCTTGGATCTGTGATTTTGTAATGAAAGTATAAATAAATGATTTGTTCCATGAAGTTTGAAAATGAAGTTGGTTAGAGTGTTACAGATTTATCGTATTAAGTTTTTCAGTATGTGTATTTGTATAAGTTGAAAATACAGTGCCTTAAAGACTGATGCTGGGGAATGAACTGAAGACCTTGGGCATGCCAGGCACTCATTCTATCACTTAGCTATACCCCAACCCTGTGAAGTGTATAAGTTGTAGAAGCATAAGTGTTAAGAGCCAAGCAGACAAGTGAAAGTGAAAAAACACCTAATAAAGTGTTAGGACTCAAGCACAATTTATAAAGCCTGCTTACACATATCCTATCAATATTTAATTTTTAAAAATTAATATTTTAGTCCTTTCTTCATGGAGTTTATTTTACTTAGAAGCTTATTGTATACATGCACACACACGTATTAGTTTCTTGAGGAAGATATTAAGTGTAACTTGTATTTTCAGAGTACCATTTGTTAAGGAGAAAGGGTGATTCCCAATTTATTGTTGAATAGTTTGTGAAGATAGATAAAAGCTTTGAGTTGAAATTGTCTTTGCTTACTACCAACATTGAATATTTTATACACACACGCACACGTATATACATATTCATATAGAATCACACTTGGCCTTTGTCTTTATGCATATATCAGGAGACAGGAAGGGATAAGGTGGGAGTCTTGAAGTAAAATTGGCAGTGTTCAAATTTAGCAGTGTGAGCACTGGGCAAGTGGATTTAACCATAATACTATTTTTGTAGAGATTTAGGGTTCTAGTTTCAGAATTCATGAAAAGTCCTTAGCTTTCTGGTACATAATGAATGCTGAGTAAGTATTAGCTGTTAAAATAATAATAATAGTTATTAATATTGTTTATTCTTTTAAAAAAATAGCTTAAAATTTCCATCTATACCTATTTGAAATTGTATGCTTTTGCTAATATTCCATTTTTAGGCCGTGTCTCTAAAGATGGGATTCTTATAAAGATAGTGAGAGATAGGCATTAAAGTGTGCCTTCTCTGATTCTAGAACAAATCCTGTAACCAGGTTAAATATTTCAGCAGTGCATTCCATTTTTTTTTTTTTTTTGATTGCAAGCTGATGAGAAGATGTACTGGGGAATGAGTACATTTTAGAGGAAGTTATTTCTTAACCAGGTGTTTGTCTTTGTTACAACATCCTAAGTTTCTTCATTTACCTTTAAATTTTTATGCATGAGTGTGGTGGTTCCCATTAGTAAAGAGAGTGACTTGTCTATGCGTATCTGTATGTAACATACATATAAACCCTAGATACAAGTGCGGAGTGGCTGGCATTGTAGCTAGATTGAGTAGGAGAATGTAATTTTTTTCATTGGATTGTCTCAGGGGAATTTCTTCAAACACAGCATTAACTTTTGCTGTTTTCTTCTCTACACTTTTTGTTTTCTTTTTTGTATGTCTGTACTGGCATAGTATTAGTTATCTTTTTCCCCCTTTAATTTTTTTTCTACTGTCCATCTCCCCCATCACAAAGACATTAGATCAGACATGGGTAGGCATAAAAATGCTTTTATAAGGTTAAGTTTTAAAACCAGGAGACAAAGTTACAAATTGTACAATAACATGGTAAAAGGATAGACATATAGGAAGATGAGAAGGCAAGAAAAGAAAGGCCTTGAATCTAGAATCAAGATACAGTCAGGTTCAAACTTGGCTGCTATTTACTGCCTGTATGATCCGAGTCTGAAATTTGTTATTTTGGGGGGGCTAGATTTAGAAAAATTACAAATGTAAACAAATTAGAATTTTTAACAGTTGTAAAAGACAGTAAAAATAATTTTAAGTTCACATAAGGAGGGGTGTGAGTATGAAATACTAGAAGTTTCATTTATGCTTAAAAAGTATTTTCAGCAGTTTGGAAAATGAAGCAAGGGAAGTCACCCTTAAACTTGGCACTGCTACTTAGTTTTCAGTATTAAAGGAAAAGGAAGTAACATTGATGTTAATTAAATATTGGCTATGTAATTAAACATCTATATGCTACATTTAATAATGCTGTGGTATATATATTCCTGTTTTACTGATGAGGAAACAAATTTCAGACTCAGGTCATGCAGGCAGTAAATAGTAGCCAAGTTTGAACTTGACTGTATCTTGATTCTAGATTCAGAGCCTTTCTTTTCTTTCCTTCTTGTCTTCCTATGTCTATCCTTTTACCTTGCTAAGGTACAATTTGTGATTTTTGTCTCCTGGTTTTAAAATTTAACCTTATAAAAGCATTTTTATGCCTACCCATATTTCAAGTGATGTCTTATTGCCCACATTGT